AGCTCTCAGGATTATTCTTGGCTGCCCCAGATCTACAAAGTTCTTAACATGAGGAAGGAGCTTGGTATTTTTAGTATCAGTGATAGGATTGTTGAAATTAACACTGTACTCGGTATTAGAATGTTGAGAAACGAACCAGACACTGTCACAGTGAATCTTACCAAGTGTTAGAGGTAAATACACACAGATCTAAATGGATTGTGAAAACGTGCAATTGCATTAAGTTTTATAACCTGCATGAACTGTATCACTGTAGGCAACAAGAGCATTTCACCCCTCCATGGAAGATGTGTTCATTTAATATCACATACCTACAAGTCCCTCCCAAGAAGCTCATTGCTAGTAATCCCTTCCTTAAATCTCTTGTTAGAGCAACTGCTCAAGAAGAAATTTCTCACCTAGCTGGTAGTAACAAGTTATCACAAGTTATATACACTGATGGATCTAAACAGGAGTCTTCTGGCAGGGCTGCATCTGCTCTTGTTGCCACCTCCCTAGTTAAGAACGATAATAAATTTGTTGAGTTAGGCATAAGAATTAACAACTGGGCGTCTACACTGCAAACTGAATTGTTTGCAATCCTAATGGCGCTAAAGCTAACCTATGACACTGAGCTTGACTCTATCATCATTACTGATTCTATGTCATCACTGAAGGCTCTTGACTCATATAATGACTCCAACAACATGCTCATTGGGGAAGCCAGGTATAGATACTCAAAAATTAGGGACAAAGGAATTAATGTACAATTGCTATGGATCCCATCACACATTGGATTACTCCTTCATGATAAAGTTGATATGTTAGCCAAGAAGAGTATCGAGAAGGAGAATGTAGAATATAACTTTGGTATAACTGTGTCTAGCATTAGGAATAATATTAGGAGAGAAGTAAATAATGAAAATGATTGTTATAGGAATGCAGTTAGAAGCCTGAGTAGATCTATAACCCACTATGATAACATGAACGTAGATAAGTATGTTTATGGAGCAACTTGCAATGTGAACAGACTGACTGATGTTGTAGTGGCCAGGCTTAGGCTTGGTTACAAGTACTTCTGGCAGTTTGGGAGACACACAGATGATGATCAAACTAAATGTAAATTATGTGATCAGGCATATGGTCACTCTCTTGAACACTATGTGCTTAATTGTCCACTTATTGAGGAATACAGAGACAGACAGTATAACCTATGTGACATGTCAAGATATCTTATTAATGAAAATAAGATACCAGATATACTAAGCAAATTTCCTAAATTTGCTTGTAACAGATAAGTGAACTATAGATATGTAGATATAAATCCATATGTATTCCTGTTAACCCTTTGGGGCCTAGTTCCTAGGCCTTTTGTGTATCCATATGCTCTCGCGCTACCGTCCACAGGATGGATATGGGTGCACAATAAACTAGCCACTTCGGTGGCAAAATCTAAAATCTAATCTTTCTGTTGGTGGGAGTTGGGGTTCATCTGATTTTGCTAATTTTATTTCGCTATTTCGTGATATCTTTTTTGTTCCTAGAATTTCTGATAGGGTTTTCCAGGTCTTTTTTATAGCACACACTAGCGTGTGCACATATTAGCGCGTGCACATACACACACTAGCGTGTGCACATACTAGCGCTTGCACATACACACACTAGCGTGTGCACATACTAGCGCGTGCACATACACTAGCGTGTGCACATACACACTAGCGCGTGCACATACACACACACACTATCAACGTGCGTTTTGTGTGTCTACAATTGATTTGGTGGGTGTGCAAATGGTGATCAGTGATAAGGCTTCGGAGACTTGTTGCTATATTTGGGTTCGTGGTACACAGAGGGCCATGCCCACGAGGGAGAGAGAAGTGGAGCTGTTGATTCTAGGATGCCTGGTTGGCAAGTGAGAGCGAGGCAGGTCTGGGTATGCCTACCCAGAGGCCTGCCCTCTGGTGAAAACTTTGGAAACTAGCCATATAGGCTTACTGTCTACAACACACATACACAATACAATACAATACAATTTTTATTTCCTTGCAAGTTTACATTGAGATTCTGTAATTACAATAATGAGTTGCAGTTCAAAGATAGCCACTATCATGACACGGCATTATGGGTAGACTAAATTAATGGCTTACACACTACTTAATACTAGAGAAATTTATCATAGTTTGTTTCAGTTGTATATCTGTTTTTATTTAAAGCAGACAGTAAGTAACTCAAGTTACAATCTGGAGATATTATATTGGGACAATTTTAAATTTTTTTGTAGGTTGTGTATATCAATAGTAAATATTTAAGTTATATTATTGGAACGTTTAAGTTATATTATTGGAATATAATATTGAGCGTTGGTGAAAGTGTTTTACAGTATGAAAATGTTACAATATGGTGTAAGGCAGTATTGTTTTGTGCAGGTATTTATACTACAATGTAACAGTATTAAGTAATGTATGAACTTTGGGTATCTAAATTTTGAAGTGTTAAGATTTAGATAATTGGGAGATTTTTGGCAAATTTAAGTATTGAATATTTAGTTTAGGGTGAGTAGATGGTTTTTGAGAAGAGTTTTGAATTGATGTTCAGATCTGGTTACTTTAGTATTTACTGGTAATGAATTCCAAATTTCGGGGCCCTTTATGTGCATAGAGTTCTTACATAGTGTGATGTGGACACGGAGTACATCAGAAACTGATCTGTGTCTTGTGTTATGGTCGTACGTCCTGTTAAGGTTGGTGAGGAGAAGTCTGAGTGAAGGGTTTATGTATGAATGTAGTATTCTGTGTATGTAGTAGGTACAAGAATAAGTATGGATGTTCTTTACGGTGAGTAGTTTTAGACTTTTGAATATTGGTGGAGTATGCTGTCTGGAGTGGGAATTTGTTATAATTCTGACTGCAGTCTTTTGCTAGGTTATTTGTGGTCTTTAATGTTGTTGATCCCTATGCACAAATTCCATAGGTGAGATAAGGGTAGAGGAGTGCAAGGAGAGCTGATTGTGGAACATAGTACCGTATCTTTGATAGTATGCCTACTATCTTAGAGATTTTCTTGGAAATTTGTTGTATATGGGTCTGGAATTTAAGGCTACTGTCAAGGTGGATTCCTAGGAATTTTCCCTCTGTGCATCTTGTGATGGGTGATCAGTTTAGCGTTATGTTAAGTGGAACATTTGTGGCTCTTTTTCCAAAATGAATGAAATAGGTTTTGTCAGTATTGAGTGTAAGCTTGTTAGTCATCATCCAGGTAGATATTTTCTGTAATTCAGTATTAACAGTGTTGGTCAGTATGACTGGGTTTGGGTGAGAGAAGTATGTTGTGTCATCTGCAAATAATATGGGTTGAGTAGTTGTGCTGCATTCGGTAGGTCATTGACATAAATGAGAAAGAGGAGAGGGCCAAGGACACTTCCTTGTGAGACCCCAACTGTAATTGGTTGTGTGGAAGAGTTAGCTCCATTTGTGAACACGCCTGCAACCACAACTACGTGAGTACACAAACATACATACACGAGCAAACAAAAAACTAGTATATTGTTATAATGAATGTAACAAGTTTCTCAGATGGCAGTTATTGTGCCCATCGATAATGCTGATGCACAAGCACTTTAAATGTCTACGTGTCTGTGTGTGCATTCATGCATGTGTATATATATATATATATATATATATATATATATATATATAATATATATATATATATATACATACATACATGTATATATATATACACACACACACACACACAAACAGGAGGAAGTAGAATAGTTTTGCAAGGGATGTAGTGGAGGCAGGAACCATACATAGTTTTAAGACGAGGTGTGATAAAGCTCAAGGAGCAGGAAGAGGGAGGACCCAGTAGCGGTCAGTGAAGAGGCGGGGCCAGGAGCTGAGTCTCGACCCCTGCAGCCACAATTAGGTGAATTAGGTGAGTACACACACACACGGCACACGTAAGACATCACATATGAAAGGCCCCTTGGAGTTAGTGACCACGTGGTTCTGAGCTTTGAATACATTGTAGAGCTACAAGTGGAGAGGGTAACAGGAGCTGAATGGGAAAACCCAAACTATAAAAGGGGGGACTACACAGGTATGAGGACCTTCCTGCAGGAGGTTCAGTGGGAAAGAGAGTTGGTAGGAAAGTCAGTAAACGAAATGATGGACTACGTAATAACAAAATACAAGGAGGCAGAGGAAAGGTTTGTTCCCAAGGGTAACAGAAATAATGGGAAGACCAGAATGAGCCCTTGGTTTACCCGAAGGTGTAGAGAGGCAAAAACTAAGAGCGCTAGAGAATGGAAAAAGTACAGAAGGCAAAGGACCCGGGAAAATAAAGAGCATGAGAGCGACTTGGGGTTGATAATCCCTACTGATAAAACAAAAATACTCAAAAGGCATCCTCCTCGACAGAGAGGCACAGTTCACCAGATTCAATTGCAAGATGGGCCTCTTCTAAAATATGTAACCAGATACAGGTATCTAGGCTTTGAGTTTCCACTACTTGGACCTGTTGTAACGAGATTTTGTCGCCAATACAAAGAAAGGCAGGTTTTCATCCCAGGTATTGGATCACTACGACAAGGTCCTAGATGCACTAGAAGACAAAAAGAATGCAGATGTAATATATACAGACTTTGCAAAAGCCTTCGACAAGTGTGACCATGGCGTAATAGTGCACAAAATGCGTGCTAAAGGAATAACAGGAAAAGTCGGTCGATGGATCCATAATTTCCTCACTAACAGAACACAGAGAGTAGTCGTCAACAGAGTAAAGTCCGTGGCAGCTACGGTGAAAAGCTCTGTTCCACAAGGCACAGTACTCGCTCCCATCTTGTTCCTCATCCTCATATCTGACATAGACGAGGATGTCAGCCACAGCACCGTGTCTTCCTTTGCAGATGACACCCGAATCTGCATGACAGTGTCTTCCATTGCAGACACTGCAAGGCTCCAGGCGGACAGTTAGTTTAGTTTAATATGTTTATTATGCACCCCATACCCATCCTGTGGGCGGTAGTCAAAAGATTACAGAGGTACATAATTGGTCCAGGGACTGGACTCCAAAGTTTTGATAGCTGAGCAAGTTACAAAGGTAATGAACTAGATCTGGTCATAATCATGACCAAGTTACAAAGGTAATGAGCTCCAGGTAGAGCTGGTCACACTCATGAATAATTGCAAAGGTAATGAATCATAAACACATGAATCATGAGAATTTACAAAGGTAATGAGCTCCAGGTAGAGCTGGTCACACTCATGAATAATTGCAAAGGTAATGAATCATAAACACATGAATCATGAGAATTTACAAAGGTAATGAGCTCCAGGTAGAGCTGGTCAAAATCATGACGTTTCAAAGGTAATGAATGATAAACACGTTATCACATGATTACAATCATAGACAAATTACAGAGTAATGAGCAGTTAACAAACATAGCAGGGAATTCATCCATTGCCCCAACAACAGATGTTGCTAGATGCCTGCCTCTCCTCGGCAGACAGCCATTGCAAACAGCAGCAAGTTGCCCTGGGATCTGCTGCTTGCACGAGCACCATCGACCCTCCCCAAGAGGTCCAAGAAGCCAGTGGCTCCGTTAGCAGCCCGATGGAGAGCTGTCCTAGGGACATGGCAACGTCCTGGTGGACGCCAAGTTGACTGAAGATCCCAGGCCCTCGTGTGCACGGATGTTGACATCAACCAAATTTTTCAGTGGGCTGCAGAAAACAATGTGAAGTTCAACGATGAGAAATTTCAATTACTCAGATATGGTAAACACGAGGAAATTAAATCTTCATCAGAGTACATACAAAACAAATTCTGGCCACAAAATAGAGCGAAACACCAACGTCAAAGACCTGGGAGTGATCATGTCGGAGGATCTCACCTTCAAGGACCATAACATTGTATCAATCGCATCTGCTAGAAAAATGACAGGATGGATAATGAGAACCTTCAAAACTAGGGAGGCCAAGCCCATGATGACACTCTTCAGGTCACTTGTTCTATCTAGGCTGGAATATTGCTGCACACTAACAGCACCTTTCAAGGCAGGTGAAATTGCTGACCTAGAAAATGTACAGAGAACCTTCACGGCGCGCATAACGGAGATAAAACACCTCAATTACTGGGAGCGCTTGAGGTTCCTGAATCTGTATTCCCTGGAACGCAGGCGGGAGAGATACATGATTATATACACCTGGAAAATCCTAGAGGGACTAGTACCGAACTTGCACACGAAAATCACTCACTACGAAAGCAAAAGACTTGGCAGACGATGCAACATCCCCCCAATGAAAAGCAGGGGTGTCACTAGCACGTTAAGAGACCATACAATAAGTGTCAGGGGCCCGAGACTGTTCAACTGCCTCCCAGCATACATAAGGGGGATTACCAACAGACACCTGGCAGTCTTCAAGCTGGCACTGGACAAGCACCTAAAGTCGGTTCCTGACCAGCCGGGCTGTGGCTCGTACGTTGGTTTGCGTGCAGCCAGCAGCAACAGCCTGGTTGATCAGGCTCTGATCCACCAGGAGGCCTGGTCACAGACCGGGCCGCGGGGGCGTTGACCCCCGGAACTCTCTCCAGGTAAACTCCAGGTAATGTTAAAACTGTGAAAGTGATGTATCTTGTTTATATTAGATCATTGGTTGATTATGCTGTGCCACTACTTGCTCTTGTGTCAGACTGGAATCTTGGAGGGCTGGAAAAACTGCAGAACGAAGCAATGAGGATCATCTTAGGATGCCTTCGTACTGCCAAAACTCTATGCGGAAAGAACTTGATATTCCAAGCATATCCTCATTGGGGTCCATATGCGTAGGCTAGCCCATTCAAGCCCTTGCACAGAAACCCTCCAAAATTTCCTCAGCACTGGTGAACACCCCTCCAATAACTTGAGAACGCTTCTTCCAATCGGCTTCAAATTTACAACACTTGTGTATGGTAATGCGCACCAAATTCTAGGAGCAATTGGTATACTGGAATGGCTTCTTGAATAACTTCCAAAATCCTCGGTGACGGAGCATCAAACGTTCACAAAAAGTGCCAAAAGAAATTCAGATATGTTGTAAATTTGACGATTTTATGTAAAAGCGTTAAAATTTTATTCCTGTTAAATCATGGTAAATAAATTTTAGATTACGTCTTCTGAACGGCTTCAAAATATATGGCCGATGCATCTTAGGGACAGGATAATATATATTAAGTTTCGTTTGGGTGCAGACAAATTAGTAGTAGTAAAATAGTAGAAAAAAAAAAACTGAAATCGTTGGATTCCGTGCCATAACTGGAGAATGACTCATCTGACCGGCTTCAAATTTCCACCACTGATGTGATTTCCTGAAGTGCCATTGGGTGGCGTAAGTCCTAATTTACCAGTTTTATTGAATAAATTGATCTTTTCATTTTTTATTCAAAACTAACACATGCTTTTTTTAAATAGCTTTAAAAAAATGACGATGGCTATGGATAATATGGATAATACCCGTTAAGTTTAGTCCGAATAGATGCATATTTGAAACTTGACTGGAACAGTTAAAAACCTGCAATTGTTGGAATCAGATCCATTACTCGAGAATGCCTTTTCTGATCTGCTTCAAACTTTTATCGTTGGTAGACTTTATTAATTAAAACACGGCATGTCAATTACTTGGAGTTGTGTGAAATTCAGTTTGCCAGTTCTATTAAGCAAATTGTTTCCCATGTAATAACTAGTGAATGTATCTTTTGATCAGCTTCAAACTCTAAGTGGTAGTGTATCTTAATAAATATTCTGTAATTAATTTTGAGCTGTTGGTGTTAGTTTGCTCTTTTCTAATAATTTTATATAAAAAAATATCAAAATCAAATATTTTTTACAGGTCTGTAGAGAATTTTAAATAAAATGTAAATACCTGGTGGAATTTCTGGAGTCAACGCCCCCGCGGCTGTCCGTGACCAGGCTTCGTGGTGGATCAGGTCTGATCAGCCAGGCTGTTACCGCTGGCCCCACTTCGACCAACGTACGAGCCACAACACGGCTGGTCAGGTACTGACTTAAGTGCCTGTCCAGTGCCTTCTTGAAGACAGGGGTCTATTAGTGATCCCCCTGATGTATGATGGGAGGCAGTCGAGCATCTTGGGCCCCTGACATTTATTGTGTTGTCTCAGCGTACTCGTGGCGCTCCTGCTTTTCATGGGGGGGGGGGGGATTAGAGAACGTCTCTTCTGATCAGAAATAAGTCAGTGTTTGACTTCATTTGGTTATCCTAGGATAAATCAAGTTAAAGTTCCTTCGTGTGTGTGTAACATTTGCGTGCCCTCATTACATTCTTAAACATTATATACACCAAGCTTACATAAAACTTGCTGTCTTAAAAGCTAATCAGTCTTAAGAGTTTTGTGGACAGATCTTAGCCTACGTGGACCCCAGTTCGCCTTTTTTGGAAGTTACTGCAAAACTGAAGTACTTTTTCTTTTCATGAGATAATTTCTGAGTGCCGCATCTGATTATCTCCAAGGTTTCCATGCTCATAGCGTGATAATGCAACGTCTGAGCGGCTTCAAGCTTAATGTGCTTGTGTATTTTAAGATGATGGTCTTTTTGGTCTCTTGGAAAGATTCAACATTTTATGGTTCTAATTTACAACTTTTATTGAAATTTGGATATTAGTTTCCTTATGATGTTTTATGAATGCCTCTTCCGATCTTCTTCAGATCTTCAGCACTAATATTTACCTACATTATCAACTTATGCCACACTCTGCACTGTTCCAGTCGCGTACATTGTGGCACATTATTATTATTATTATTATTATTATTATTATTATTATTATTATTATTATCATTATTATTATAATCAAGGGGAAGCACTAAACTCGTAGAATTATACAGCGCCTGTGGGGGGGGGGGGTGCGGAAGGTATTCAGGCTAAATTCAGGGAACTGGAACACAGATCCAATTCCTTAGCTCAAGAACCCCTCACCAGCGTCAAGGAATCTTCCTTGAGGAGACATTGAGACACAAGGTGCTGGGGTTATGGAATACGAGGATGAATTCCCCGCAGCGATCGAAATATATCGTTTTCTTTAGTTCCCTTCCTCTCATGCCTGAGTCACTACACTAAACTTGCTTGCGGTACAAGTGTTGAGCCATCTGTTTTACTGAGGAAGAAGACTATTTTTATTATCAACCAGAAGGGTTAATAGCCCAGTATAACCCGAGACAAAAGAATACTTCATTTATATTATCAACCAGGTGGGTTAATAACCCAATATAACCCGAGACAGTTGGAGTTTGCATGTCGTCTCCCAAGGATGCCACCCAAAGCAGCTGATTCTTATGTATTTGTTTACTGTTACATGAACACGTGAACAAGAGCAGCAGGTTGGTTAATTAGTTACCAGTTGTCAAAGGCACTTGTCAAGAGACACTTGACATGTTTCGTGTGTGTGTGTGTAAGTTCATTCAGGTGTACACAATAGTGTTACATAGATTATCATACATAGCAGCATGTGTGTAGAGAACCTTGGATAACCCCCCAAAAAAGTCAGACAAAGTGACTTATTTACATTGGGGTCCTTTGTGCGTGTGCCTGTGCGTACTGGGTAATTGTGCTACCCAGCAACCCATAAAGCTGTAAGTTTTACGTTCCCAGACGTAAGATTGCCTGTTGTTATATTTCATTATTGACGATTATACGTAAAAGATAAATATAAATTGTCCTAACATAATTGAAAGGCAGAGCCAAGAGCCGAGTCAAAAGACATAGATGGCAGCTATAGAGGCAGATGAGGCATAGAGACTATGGAGTACTGTTTTGGTATCAGGGTGGTGAGGGATCACCAACAGCCTGATAGGTCAAAGGCCAACTCAAGATTGGAGAACGGGGGATCGTTCCTCAACTATTGTTTGCGCTGTATAACCCACACTAGTTTAGCGCTTTATGAATGGAATTAACTAGATTAAGACGTGGATACCTGAAGGGGTAACCGCCTCCGGGCCCGGTCCTAGACCAGGAGCCGAACAATATAAACGATTTCAAAAGTATATCACTTGGGACTGGAGGCCAGAAGTCAGTGAAGTCGGTCAACAGAAGCTCATAGATGGCACCAAGAGCTACTAATCGACCTTTGTAAACTACGACTAGTGAGTATACACAACCTTCCGCTGATCACACGCAAGACCTTAACCTCCCGTTCCTCCTTCCCCTCCTGTTGAATAACTGCCCCCCTTTCCTCATTCCCCTGTCCATTAACCCTCGCTGAACCTCCTCCCTTCCTGCCACCCTCATAACCCTACCTATCACACAATAATAAAACCCACAGTCCCACCCACAACCCGAGTATCTTTATCTTACCCTAATACTACCTGCAGTGGTCAACTCCCTACGATAAACCCACAACTCTTATTTACATACTTGTGGTGGTAGGCTGACAGATTTCATGACTAATTCTGCGTGATGGACTACTGGAGTTTACCTGGAGAGAGTTCCGGGGGTCAACGCCCCCGCGGCCCGGTCTGTGACCAGGCCTCCTGGTGGATCAGAGCCTGATCAACCAGGCTATTGCTGCTGGCTGCACGCAAACCAACGTACGAGCCACAGCCAGGCTGATCAGGAACTGACTTTAGGTGCTTGTCCAGTGCCAGCTTGAAGACTGCCAGGGGTCTGTTGGTAATCCCCCTTATGTGTGCTGGGAGGCAGTTGAACAGTCTCGGGCCCCTGACACTTATTGTATGGTCTCTTAACGTGCTAGTGACACCTCTGCTTTTCATTGGGGGGATGGTGCATCGTCTGCCAAGTCTTTTGCTTTCGTAGTGAGTGATTTTCGTGTGCAAGTTCGGTACTAGGAAACTCATACCTATATGATGGAGTGCTACAGGAAACTCATCCTATATGATGGAGTACTACAGGAAACTCAACCATAGAGAGGCTACAGAAACTCATCCTATATGATGGAGTACTACAGGAAACTCATCCTATATGATGGAGTACTACAGGAAACTCATCCTATATGATGGAGTCTACAGGAAACTCATCCTATATGATGGAGTACTACAGGAAACTCATCCTATATGATGGAGTACTACAGGAAACTCATCCTATATGATGGAGTACTACAGGAAACTCATCCTATATGATGGAGTACTACAGGAAACTCATCCTATATGATGGAGTACTACAGGAAACTCATCCTATATGATGGAGTACTACAGGAAACTCATCCTATATGATGGAGTACTACAGGAAACTCATCCTATATGATGGAGTACTACAGGAAACTCATCCTATATGATGGAGTACTAAAGGAAACTCATCCTATATGATGAGTACTACAGAAACTCATCCTATGTGATGGAGTACTACAGGAAACTCATCCTATATGATGGAGTACTACAAGAAACTCATCCTATATGATGGAGTACTACAGGAAACTCATCCTATATGATGGAGTACTACAGGAAACTCATCCTATGTGATGGAGTACTACAGGAAACTCATCCTATGTGATGGAGTACTACAGGAAACTCATCCTATATGATGGAGTACTACAGGAAACTCATCTATGGAATCTCAAACTCATATGATGGATACTACAAGAAACTCATCCTAATGATGTACTGGAGTTACCTGAAGATCGGGGTAAAAGCCCTGCGGCCCGGTCTGTGACCAGGCCTCCTGGTGGATCAGAGCCTGATCAACCAGGCTGTTACTGCTGGCTGCACGCAGTACTACAAGAAACTCATCCTATGTGATGGAGTACTACAAGAAACTCATCCTATGATGGATTACTACAGGAAACTCATCCTGTGTGTTGGAGTACTACAGGAAACTCATCCTATGTGATGGAGCATTATAAGAACACCGTCTTAGGTGATGGAGTATAACAGAAACATTGTCCTAAGTGAGGGAGTATGACAGGATCACCATCCTAGGTAATGGAATATGATAGAAACACCATCCTGGTGATGGAATGTGACAGGAAAATCATCCTAAGTGATGGAGTATGACAGGAATAAAATTCCAAGTGATGGAATATGACAGGAATACCGTCCTGGGTGATGGAGTATGACAAAAACACCATCCTAGGTGATGGAGTATGGCGGGAGCACCATCCTAGGTGATGGAGTATGGCGGGAGCACCATCCTAGGTGATGGAGTATGACGGGAACACCATCCTAGGTAATGGAGTATGACAAAAACACCATCTTAGGTGATGGAGTATGACGGGAAGAACATCCTAGGTGATGGAGTATGGCGGGAAACAACCATCCTAGTGATGGAGTATGACGGGAACACCATCCTAGGTAATGGAGTATGACAAAAACACCATCTTAGGTGATGGAGTATGACGGGAACACCATCCTAGGTGATGGAGTATGACGGGTGCACCATCCTAGGTGATGGAGTATGACGGGAACACCATCCTAGGTGGAGTATGACGGGAACACCATCCTAGGTGATGGAGTATGACGGAGACACATCCTAGGTGATGGAGTATGACGGGTACACCATCCTAGGTGATGGAGTATGACGGGAACACCATCCTAGGTGATGGAGTATGACGGGAACACCATCCTAGGTGATGGAGTATGACGGGACACCATCCTAGTGATGGAGTATGACGGGTACAACCATCCTAGGTGATGGAGTATGACGGGAACACCATCCTAGGTGATGGAGTATGACGGGTACACCATCCTAGGTGATGGAGTATGACGGGAACACCATCCTAGGTGATGGAGTATGACGGGAACACCATCCTAGGTGATGGAGTATGACGGGAACACCATCCTAGGTGATGGAGTATGACGGGTACACCATCCTAGGTGATGGAGTATGACGGGAACACCATCCTAGGTGATGGAGTATGACGGGTACACCATCCTAGGTGATGGAATATGACGGGTACACCATCCTAGGTGATGGAGTATGACGGGTACACCATCCTAGGTGATGGAGTATGACGGGTACACCATCCTAGGTGATGGAGTATGACGGGAACACCATCCTAGGTGATGGAGTATGACGGGAACACCATCCTAGGTGATGGAGTATGACGGGAACACCATCCTAGGTGATGGAGTATGACGGGTACACCATCCTAGGTAAAAATAATATTAATTAAGGTTACCTAGCCTTTGGTGTACTGTAACCTTGTAAAATGTCATATGGATCATGGAAGTCACAATGCGGATGTAAGTAATCTTAGCTACAAAAAATACTTGCCTAACACCCATGCTAGAACATCAAACACATATGTGAAGTTGACTAATAAAAGACCAGATGTCAGGGACACATAAAAGTATAATTATTGGCTCTTACATCATCACTACACCTGTTTTACATATCAGGAATTTACAACATTATATCTTACTCGCATACATAATATACAGCCACATACACATTGTGACCATTATAATTTTGTTTTAGACATTATATACAATGATATTGAGACATAAATTGTATGGTATGTGATGTGTAGAGCAGACAATGTAGTCTGGGAAGACTGTCACAGCTCAGACACAAGAATGTGATTACTTCTCCAGTCAGTGCAGAATTCTTTGCATTTCTTTCACATTTTCATTATACACGAGCAACAGCCTTCCAGGGCCATTTTGAAAATATCTTTGAAACTATAATAGGGACAAACATTTGTGTCCCATTTGCTGAATTAATCGATCTGTACTTTGTAGGTTAATTGTATTATCTTGGACTAATGGTTTAAAATATTATGCCTAAACTTTAATTATAAAAGGGTTGGCAAAAAAGAATCTTGCGATAATCATTTAGAAATAAATGGTACTATTTGGCTTTGTTGGGTTATCCTGGGTCAATTTTGATAATTTATCACCATTGTTTACCGATATTAAAGCACTGAATGCAAATATTGTAGGAATTCAATACAGCTGCCTGTGGAAAGATGTAAAAAATGATTTAAACTGCATAAATGTTATTCAGAGTGTATATAAGTGAACATATATGAGTGTTCCGGTGCTGTGATAGCCTTTACACACACCCAGCTGATTATGTGTACCTTCATCCTAGTGGCTCAACTCCTGAAATTCAACCAATGAGAAGCGCCCTTTGAGTGCTCATTTACGCCCATTGTGTTTTATAAGCTTCACTGTGAGTGGCGGAGTGAAAGAGATTTAACCAATGAGGAGAAGGGTTGCTGGCGGTGTTATGGTTGAGGTAAGATGCTGTGATGGTGCACTGTACGGAATGATCAGATTTACTTCCTCTATTACCGGTATGTAATAAGAACTTTTCTCCATGCTTGCCATCCTGTAAGGCCAATAAAGTGTTGTTCTCTCCAGTAGTATCCCTTACAGACTAGATAAGCTGATAATTAAAACACAGGAGGCAAAAGATTACTGGACCGGAGCATGTTTGGATGGTTCATTGTTCATAATTGACAATTATATTTCGTTGTTGTGATATGTGCTTTCTGTAGCGAGTGAAATAGACTGCTGGTGGGCGTTTTACAAGCAGATACATCACTACCACCAACCATAATACCCAGAAAGCTCCAGGAAAACCTGGAAAACTGAGGTATACATGTGGGTTGAGTGGCCCGTGTGGGCCTTGGCAAGACTTTACTGAAAGAAATTTTGTCAAATATACCTTTAACTAGGTAGAGAGGTATCAGGTGAATTATTAGTTATTGTGACTTATTCTGGCACACACTGATTAATGCCAAGGTACTTTAGTAAAGTTGGTAGACTGTATTGATCTGGTCATAGACAGCAGACAACAGGAAATTATTACGACCTCAGCTGAGGTGCTTCAAGTGGCTCTCATTACAACTTCATTTCCTAACTAGACTGAGCAATTAGTGCACTTCCTCCTATTTCACGAGTAATTATTTTACAAGGTATTTGAGATATTTTTTCAATTAGGAGTGCGTTGTAATTAATACATTCTCCTGAGCTGTCAAAATGTTTATTTATAAACTTAAAGACCCTAATGATAGATCAGTGTAAAGAAGTCTTGATGGTTTATTATTTTGCTGTTCTTATGATATATTTTGGTTATACATGGACTCTGTCCTCTGACACTTGTGCATTCTTGCATTGTACATTTAATTTGCAGATTAATCTGGTAATTGGTTGGTCAATGTTTACATTATTCCCAGGTCAGAACCTTGTCAATATTAAACAGTATCCATAACCAAACTGTATTTATAAAACATTTCACATGCTTGTCCCTTGTGGAAATTGCTTTTTATCTATATATTAGCCATAATGCAATAACAGTCATGATGCAGTGAACAAGTAATTGAGCTATGGTTGATTATGTGTCTTGAATCTCTATCAAACTACCACCACCAACATGCAGTAAATTTCACTAATTCCTTGATGCAATCACTTTTTTTTTTTAACTTGCAGTATTATATCATTTAATTATTTTAAGTTTGGTTTGGTTATGTTGAGTTAGGTTGTATTGGGTTATACATGTATTGGGTTTGGTTGGGATACATTAGTTTTTTGCTTTTCCTAAATAAAATCTGTCTCAAATGCACATCTACATCAATTTCAGACAGTTTAGCTTGTAAAATAATGCTGAAGTTGGACCTGGGAATAAAGTAAATGATAACAAATTGTTACTCGACAATTATAAATTATGTTTATTAGCAAACTTTATTTTTATTAACCTTTAGGTCTATAGGGAGGCTGAAAACATAGATATTAGTCTGGTACTGTGCCTGTTTTCAATAGGTAATGCTTCTGGAAATCTTTGCGAAAATACCGTTTCTGTTACTTTCAGTTGACTGAAGTTTTGTCTATGGTGCCCCTCTATTTAACCCTTTGAGGGTCGACAGGCCCTCTCAGAAACTCATTCTCAGGGTCGGCCAAATTTAAAAAAAAAAAAAAAAATTTCTTATGAAAAGATAGAGAATCTTTTCCCGTCATAATGACACCAAAATTATGAGATTTGATGGAAAACTTACGGAATTATGCTCTCGCAAAGTTAGCGGTCTCGGCGATTTTTCCCCAATTTGAGCCCCATTTTCGGCCAATTCCTCTGTACTAATCGACAAACAACATGAATATTTCGCTAGAACTACATTTTTTCTATTGAATGAGTGCAAGAAACCACCCATTTACCATTTTCAACTATCCAATACAGTGGTCAGAATTTAGCAATTTTGCCAATTTCACACAAATTTCAAAAAATGCCAATTTCCGAATAGTGTCCAGAACAAACAAGAAATACATTCCTGGCACTAAAATGACATTTCATTCTGCTCATTAGCCCGTCCCAAGGCCCCCTTACTTTTTTTTTTTCCATTTTGAAATTTTTATTCTCACAAAAAAAAAGAAATTTACTGTTATGCAACTACGCATTAGGTAAAAAATGTTTAAAAACATTTGGCGCAATTGCAAAAAAATGTTAGACCCCCATTAACGTGTTTTGGGCGCTTGGCATGATTTTTTTATTTTTTGAATTTTGGAAAAAAACGAACATTTCTGCTATTTGAGCTCATTTTCAAGTTTTTTTCATTGTAAAACCAGAAAAAATCATTCAATTTCTGTATAGCATTCCATTCTATAAAAAGAGACCCCAAAAAAACTAGAATCAAAATAAAAACCATAGAAAATAACGCAAGACCTGTTTTATGCCAAAAAAAAAAGGAGTTTTTTTTTTTCTCATTATGCAGTTGCTGGGAGGTTTTTTTTTTTTTTCTGGCCCCTGACCACATAACCCATTCTTATATGGGGGCCACCAGCCCCCCTTCCCCGAATTTTGACGGCGCTAGAATTTTTGCGTATAGTACTCAAAAACCCCACGCGTAAGACGTACTGTTGACCAAAAAACCCCAAAGGTTAAAAGGCAAGATCTTTAACTACAGTAAAGTCCCAAACATACAAAAAAGTTAAACCTTTTTGTAATTTTCGAGGTGTAATTTTCCTTGTGTGTTCATTTTTATAGTTGTGCGTATAAGTACTTATAAACTCGTTTCTACCCATTTTTCATGAAAAAGGGCCTTAAATGTTGATTTCCCGGTTTCCAGACAAAAGTAAGAACTTTTCCCCATGCTAAACCCCATCAGAATACTTTTTCCCCTACTCTATTTATTCTGGGCCCAAACATTATTTCAAGAAATCGTCATTTTAACCTTGTCTTAAAGGGGAGCTCAGCACTTTTCCCAGAATGCTTGGAACACATGGGACTGCACAATCATTTCCCCTAGGCAATGATTATACTGAAAAAACCTTTCCTGAAATGACCCGACCTGACCTCAGCACAGTCTGGTGAGTGAGGTCGGATTTGCTAATTAGTTTTCGTTTAAATTTGAAGGATTGTTTAGGAAACAGTGATATTCCTAGGAATAAAATAAGATAAAACAAATTATAAAAATAAAGGACCAGAGGAATATGAAGCCAAAATTGAAAAAAAAAAAAAACTGTCAGAAATAGAGAAAAAACAGAAATAGAACAGAAAGTTGAATTTCATGAAATAAGAAAATGGAAAAAGCAAATGATTTGAAGCTACTGGGGGAAGCTGAAAAAGAAATCGAATAATCCAGGAGGAGGTAAAGAGGAGAAAAATCACATTAAGATAATAAAGTGCTTAGAGAACCTTAGCATTCAATATCATATAGAGGGATATAGGGGAATTGGAAAATACAAGAATAAAAACAGGCAACTGAAAATGACATTCACAGATTAAGCACAATGAAGAGTTGCCAATGCTGTAATGCAATTAATGGTTATAAGTCTGTTGAGTATACCTGGTAAAGTGTATGGTAGAGTTATTATTGAAAGAATTAAGAGTAAGACGGAGAATAGGATAGCAGATGAACAAGGAGGCTTTAGGAAAGGTAGGGGGTGTGTGGACCAGGTGTTTACAGTGAAACATATAAGTGAACAGTATTTAGATAAGGCTAAAGAGGTCTTTGTGGCATTTATGGATTTGGAAAAGGCTATGACAGGGTGGATAGGGGGGGCAATGTGGCAGATGTTGCAGGGTATGGTGTAGGAGGTAGGTTACTGAAACATGAAGAGTTTTTACGAGGATAGTGAGGCTCAGTTAGAGTTAAAGTAGAAAGAGGGAAATTATTCCAGTAAAAGTAGGCCTTAGACAAGGATGTGTGATGTCACCGTGGTTGTTTAATATATTTATAGATGGGGTTGTAAAAAGAAGTGAAAGCGAGGGTCTTGGCAAGAGGCGTGGGGGTTAAAAGATAAAGAATCACACACAAAGTGGGAGTTGTCACAGTTGCTCTTTGCTGATGACAACTGTGCTCTTGGGAGATTCTGAAGAGAAGTTGCAGAGATTGGTGGATGAATTTGGTAGGGGGTGCAAAAGAAGAAAATTAAATGTGAATACAGGAAAAGTAAGGTTATGAGGATAACAAAAAAATTAGGTGATGAAAGACTGGATATCAGATTGGAGGAGAGAGTATGGAGGAGGTGAATGTATTCAGATATTTGGGAGTGGACGTTTTCAGCGGATGGGTCTATGAAAGATGAGGTGAATCATAGAATTGATGAGGGGAAAAGGGTGAGTGGTGGCACTTAGGAGTCTGTGGAGACAAAGAACTTTGTCCTTGGAGGCAAAGGGGAATGTATGAGGTATAGTTTTACCAACGCTCTTATATGGGTGTGAAGCATGGGTGATGAAAAGTTGCAGCGAGGAGAAGGCTGGGGACAGTGGAGATGTCATGTCTGAGGCAATGTGTGGTGTGAATATAATGCAGAGAATTCGTTGTTTGGAAGTTTTGGAGGAGGTGCGGGAAATTTCCAAAACTGTTGTCCAGAGGGCTGAGGAAGGGTTGTTGAGGGGGTTCGGACATGTAGAGAGAATGGAGCGAAACAGATGACTTCAAGAGTGTATCAGGGCTGTAGTGGAAGGAAGGCGGGGTAGGGGTTTGGCCTAGGAAAGGTTGGAGGGAGGGGGGGTAAAGGAGGTTTTGTGTGCGAGGTGCTTGGACTTCCAGCAGGCATGCGTGAACGTGTTTTTGATAGGAGTGAATGGAGAACAAATGGTTTTTAATACTTGACGTGCTGTTGGAGTGTGAGCAAAGTACATTTATTTAAGGGGGTTTAGGGAAAAACCCCAGGCCGGACTTGAGTCCTGGAGATGGGAAGTACAGTGCCTGCACTCTGAAGGAGGGGTGTAAATGTTGCAGTTTAAAAACTGTAGTGTAAAGCACCCTTCTGGCAAGACAGTGATGGAGTGAATGATGGTGAAAGTTTTTCTTTTTCGGGCCACCCTGCCTTGGTGGGAATCGGCCAGTGTGATAATAAAAATAATAAAAGGACTTACAAATTATAGAATTCTGCAATATTTATGAAACTGGTATTAAGCTGTTTATTCCACAGATGAGTAAAAGAAGAAATATTAAAGACTGGTTTACTGAGAGCTTTGAAAATAAAGGGCTTAGAAACGACACAGGAAGCAAGCCAATCCAAGATATGTATATCAGAGATATAAACAAGCCAGAAATGAATACACAAAGGTAAGACAGGAGGAACAAAGGAAGTTTAAAAAGTAAATGCTGTACTTTAGTAGACGAGCAAGATGGACCCAAACTCCTTTTTTTTTTAATTTGTAAAAAATAAACTGTTAAAGACAAAATAAAATGATTTGGGGATGACAGCATAATCACTGAGGAGGAGGAGGAGGAAGAAATGCGAGAGATATTAAATAGGAAGTTTCAGTGTGTGTTTACAACAGATATTTTACATGTAGCAGATTTACCTTGCAAACAAATGATTGAGATAAAAGATATTGACATAACTGAAGAAGCAGTGAAGAAATTACTAAATGTTGGCATAAAAGAGCAAAAAGACCAGATAAGATTGCACCATGGGTGTTAAGAGTGTGCAGAAGAATTGCACTATCTCCTTTAGAAAAAATTTATGATTACACTTCAGGTAGGAAAATTGGCAGACAAACGAAAGATGACACATTATGCTGATATTTAAAAATGGTGACAGATAAAATCCTTTATAGGCTGGTTTCACTGACAGGTGTTGTAAAAATATTAGAGAAAGCCTGCAGAGAAGAGTGGATAAGACATTTGGAAAATAACTTGGTCCAAAATGTTTTTAATTTATGTAAATGGTTTACCAGAAACAATAAAAACTAAATGTTGTAGGTGATGCAAAAAGATGTAAATAAAAATAAATGTGCAAATCAAAATTACTATATAATTCTCTTCAGGATGACCTGGATAAATTGAGTAAATGAGGTTATAGATGGATGCTGGAATTTAATGTAGGTAATGCCATGTAATAGGAAAATATGGCCACATGAATAATATATACTGTGTGATAAAGTATTGAAAGTGCCAGAGAATGGGACATAGGAGTTGATTACAAAAAAAAAAAAACTTCATTGAAAATCAGATACATGAAATTGTGAGGAACTTGCTTGTTACTCTAGCAAATTATAAAATATATGGATGAAGAAGTGCTGAAATGCCAAAATTGGAATATACAGTGATGGTGTGGCACCCACACCTTCAAAAAAAAAAAAAAAAAAAAAAAAAAAAAATTGTGGCTGTTAGAAAAGGCTCAAAGAGGAGCTAGAAAATAGTTATCAGAGTTTATAAACATGAGTTACAATGAAAGGATGCCTATGCTGGCTGATAGGAGGAAGAGAGGGAACATGACTTCAAAAGGTCATACAAGGACATTAAAGATTAGATAGAGGATTTTTTCATACCTGCAACAGTGATATAAGGAGGCCATAGATATAAATTGAGAAAAAAGTGCTGAAGGTATAGGAAATTTTGCGTCAGAGTGGTAGATAAAAGGAATAGATTATAAGAGGATGGCAGGAGCCTCGGTTATTAAATATTTTGAAAAATTGTGATGAATGAATTACAAGGGGACCTTGCAAGCATAACTTTGCTCCTGTATACTGCTACAAATACTGATGTATGTAGTTACAAATTGGTAATTACAGATGCATGACCCCTGAATTTAAAAAAAAAAAAAATGATTTTATTCAAAATTTGTACTGTTTCCTATGGCTAAATCTTTGTAAATATTTTAACTTATGAATGCAAATATTAACCAGGTTAAAGCAGTATTTAAACATATGTATTGTAACACAAAATGAGCAAAAATTTGAAAGTTCCTCTTTACCTATTGCCGGACTCCTCATGTGGGCAAACATGATAAAATTGGTACTCTTTCAGATTTCTTCCTTGCTGTGAAAGTTAAATTTTTCCAGGTGCTGACATTCTGGAAAAAATAAATTGTGGGTTAATGTCATACTGTATAACTAATCACAGGATGGACTGAAAACATCATTACCATCCTGCATGTAAAAGTTTATTAAATCTTGTATATAAAAACATTTGTTTTGGTAGAATTTGTTTTTCTAATTTTTTTCTTCAAAGCAGAAATGGCCGCAACAGGTGACTCTACAACAAGTGCGACTACTCCTCACCATCTGTCACATAACATTAACAACTTGATACCTGTTGTAGGAAAAGACCAGGTACAACCAATAATGCAAACAGATATAGATCCTTCAAGAATAAAAGAAGTCCTTTCAGTTGATCATCCACAAGCAATCAAAGAGGAAATGAAGGTGAGGTATGGATTTTTTCAGTCTAGGTGAGCTTGAAGCTCGCTATACTGTACTTGGGCCATTATCAACATTCTAATTTCAGTTTCAGCATGGCAGTCACTAAAAACAGAATGGAACTATGTGAATAACAGTTGTGCCTCTACAGTATTTCAACATTTTTTCATCAAGGATGCTCTTATCACATGTGCTCAGGAATGTAATGCATCTTCCTAACTATGGTATATACTGTACTGTAAGCTCAAGGGCAGTGCTGAACTTGGCCAGACACCAGGGCCAATATAACTGAACAATTCCTACTTTTTGAGGTGCACAGATGAAGATTAGTCATGTGGAAAAATGCTATAGTAGTAGGGTTTACACAGTTCTTGGGAATAGGAGGTAGTCAGGTTTGGTCCAGGGGTGGGTACTGTAGCTCCAATTTCTTGGATTAAAGCTTTCAACATCAGGGGCTGCTCCCTCTACTGATTTGAAGAATGGATTTAAACATTTTCTATGAGTTTTTTTTTTTTTTCTAAAATACATATTTCATTTTTTTTTAATGGCACTTTTTATTCAAATTCTTTATTTCCACATGATGCATAGTTTGTACAGGAAATTGATGACATTTAATACTGCACATGGAAAGCCCCTTGGTTATGTAGAACATGTCAGGTAAGCTTAATTCTAACTTGAAGACTAAAGGGGCAGTAAACATTGTACATCTATGTACATAAAGACATTAACCCTTTCAGGGTCCAGAGGCCAAATTTCATAGTGCACACCAGGGTCCAAGAATTTAAAAAAAAAAAAATTTGTTATTTTTTCTTATGAAATGGTAGAGAATCTCTTTCTGAAGGTAATATAACAAAAAGTACAAAATTTGATGGAAAATTGATGAAATTATGCTCACGAATTTTTATGTCGGCGATATTTACGAATCGGCGATTTTGCCGACTTTTACTCCCATTTTAGGCCAATTACATTATTCCAGTCGACCAAATTCTTAGCTGTTTCACTAGTATTACTTCTGTTCTATTGATTGAGCACAAGAAATTGCCCAGTCAACTGTTTCAACTACAAAATAAAGTGATCGGAAATTGGTAATTTGGCCAATTTAACACAAAGTTCAAAATATTCCAATTTCAAAATAGGGTCCAGAATAACAATGCAGGCATTTCTGGCACTAGACTAATATTTCCTCTGTTCATAAGTTATGTTTTCAGGCTTTACAAATGAATTCCATTTTGATTTTTTATTCACATAATGAATTTTATTCAAACCAAAACTTAGACGATTTACTGTTATGCAATATTGTAATAATTGTATAAATATCATCACCACATTTGTGAATGTATATTAGACCCATCAGCTGGCGTGTATTAGACGTATGAGGTTGTTTGTTTACTCTTGAACATCGGCAAAAATTTAACATTTCCGCTACTTTGAGCTCAGTTTCAAGCCATTTCCATCACTAAAACCAATCAAAATAATTTCTATTTCTCTAATATATCTTCCATTCTATCAAATGAGACCAAGAAATAGCAAATACAATTATAAAAAACATGAAAAAACACTGCAAAATCGGTTTTAATCGAAAATCACGGTCTCAATTTTTTTTCTCTCGTTATACAGTGTGTGCTGCAGGATTTGTTTTATGTGGTGCACACATATCACATAGATGTATTCTCTCATATCTAGGCCCAAATTTGCCACTCACAGCTTATCAGAGTGAGCTAAGCTCATGGCGTAGATCTACGGTTTGGACCCTCAACATAAAGCCGTAGATCTACGGCACAGACCCTGAAAGGGTTAAAGATATACACAATAAAATGAATTCAATGAATATGACGCAAATGTACTTGAAAGTAAAAATGAGCATAGCATGGCACAATATACGACAGTACGAAAAATTAGTCGGGTTAAAGTTCAGGGAAATAAGTTCTCAGGCACAATTTTTTACAACATTGACAATCAATGCAATAACTCATATTCTAGATGCAATGACTATTCCAGGTAACAAAGCTTAAGTTTTTTTAGTTTAATGTTTTTGTTTTACACCCCATACCTATCCTATGGGTGGTAATCAAAATACAGCAAGGTGTTGATAGCTGACCAAGTTACAGTGGTAATGAACTATTTACATGTTTCTTTCTGGTTGCAGTCGTAGTGAGTTATTTACACAGACATGAATTAAGTCATGCACAGAAAAAAAGAGTGGTAATGCTTTATTTACAGTGAGCAAAGTCAGAGTATTTTTCCAGAATGGCTTCTAATATACTACTATGATTATAATGCTGTGACATTTCTTAAATATAACTGAGTGAGTCTAGGTAGTAGGTTGGTAGACAGCAACTGCCCAGAGAGGTACTACTGTCCTGCCAAGTGCGTGTAAAACGGAAACCTGTAATTGTTTTACGTGATGGTAGGATAGCTGGTGTCTTTTTTCTGTCTCGTAAACATGCAAGATTTCAGGTACGTATATATACACACCCCTCTGGGTTTTCTTCTCTTTTCTTTCTAGTTCTTGTTCTTGTTTATTTCCTCTTATCTCCATGGGGAAGTGGAACAGAATTCTTCCTTCGTAAACCATGCATGTTGTAAGAGGCGACTAAAATGCTGGGAGCAAGGGCCTAGTAACCCCTTCTCCTGTACAAATTACTAAATTTAAAAAGAGAAACTTTCGTTTTTCTTTTTGGGCCACCCTGCCTTGGTGGGATATGGCTGGTTTGTTGGATTTGTTTCTTGAATTCATTAATTTAATTGCATTCCATTACATAATGATGCAAGGTGTGACAGTTGTCCCTCTGGCAAAATTTACATTTCATTTGGTCTACATCTGGTGGTGGTGATTTAACCTCCCAAAGATACTGGTAACCCAACCGTAGCCGGGTGGTAATGACATCTAAGAGTCTGCTTAATTTGTTGGATGCACCATAGACATGTAGCTCCTCCTGCATAATAGAATGATGATAGTAACTAAGCTTAGTATAGGACACCTACCATCCGACTTTCGACCTGCTCGACATACGACCACTCGACTTACGACCATGTTTTTTATGCCAAATTTCTGGGAAATAAGCAACTGTTTGTGCTGTACAGTGTTTATCCTAAACCTTATAGTATAAAATACAGTACTAACAGCATAAAAAGTAAAGGAAAAAATGAAATGCCAAAATAAAACAATAAAATAAAATCATTTCAAAAGTGTGATGTTGATATTCAGTAGTAAGGTTCGACTTAAGTCCATTTTGACTTACAACCGGTTGGTCGTAAGTCGGATGGTACCTGTATAATGTAGCATTAGTGCTCTTATGGAGAAACCAAAAAACAGTAAAGGGTAATTATAAAATAAACATTGGGTAAATGATTTGACTAGTATCTAGGCACACTGCTCATTTTAGTTTGAATTTAATAAGATTGTTGCAATTTTTCAGTTCATCTGGTAAGTTATTCTGTAAATGTTCAATCAAATATGAGGTATATCAAGAGTTACTTTTTTCTAGTGCAGTGCCTGTGTGTTCTAATAGTTTCCTAGGAATTAGTTCAGCATCAGCATTATGATACTGTATTTTGAATGTGTGGATTGAGCAGTAGTAAGTGTGAATTGCATTTATATTGGTAGGATTAGAGACTTGAATAAGGCCATAGTGTATTTCCTAATGGTAGAGTTTGCTCTCAATAAATGTCCTTAGTTGGGGATTTAACAAAAAATGTGGAATGTATAGGAAAAGACACTTTTTTTTTTTTTTTTTTTCATAATTATTGTGATCCTTAATTTTTTTCAAAACTATGTAACTATTCCATAAAAGTAGGGAACAAGGCAGTGACAAGATAGTAATGATTTCATTCAATCTTGGCAGGTTGAGGGAGAGGTTGCAGATGACATTGATCCAGTAATAGACATTATGATAAATAATGTCGTGTCCTCCTTCTCTGTTGCCTGCCATCTGGATTTAAGGAAGATTGCTAGAGAAGGAAATAATGTAGAATTTCGGCGTGAAAATGGGGTAAGTAACAAAATTCTGAAAGAATGTCATTGTATGTGTTGCTAAATCAGGTGACAAACCTTTGTAATACAGCGTTTCCTCACTTAACAATGTACTCGTTTACCGACGATTCTGACTTACGACGGGCTCTCTGATTTCCTCTATTCTGTTTATTACAATATACAGTACACTGCTATATAAGCATTTAAAAATATACCAGAAATGTTATAAATGGTGCAAAAGTGACATTACAACAATATCAAAGATGGTTGACATAAACCCACTACTCTTATAGTCTGCTCCTTACTTAGCGATGAATTCGTTTACTGATGTGGTCTTGGGAACGGAACTCCATCACTAAGTGAGGAGCGGCTGTAATTGCAAATGTTGGTAATCATATATACATACAATACTTTCAAAAGTGTCATGTCGTAAGAGGCGACTAAAATGCCGGGAGGAAGGGGCTAGTAACCCCTTCTCCTGTATGCATTACTAAAGTTAAAAAGAGAAACTTTTGTTTTTCTTTTTAGGCCACCTACTTCAGTGGGATACAGCCAGTTTGTTGAAAGAAGAAGAAAACTTTTTAAATGTATTTTACAGCAGTTGTTGCATTTTCATTCTTAGCTGATTAGTGAATGGGTAAAGCTTGCAATAGAATTTATTAGAATTAAAACATTTAGCCTTGAAATAGCTGTAAATTTTGATCGCGGCTAATATCGATATATAAGCACTAAAAGAACTGTTAAATCCTTTAAAAAGTGTTCAGTAATAATAACCTGAAAGTAAACGTCAGCAAAGCAATTGTGTTGGATTAAGGACCAAACGGCAGATTGATAAAGAAAACAATGAAAAGTATTGCATTATATAACGAGGATATACGCTATGACAAGTTTCATGAATGAGACATGCAACACTTCGGTATTTTCTTTGCTGAAACATTGGCTGGTACAATGTTATAACACTGCAACAATAGTAGTAGTGGAGGTGATGGTCATGGTTGTGGTGGTCTCATCCTCAAGGCTTAAAGGTTTCCCACCTATCAATGCTGAGGGATTGATCAACTCAGAACTCTATTACTACCACTGTCACCACCTACTACTGCTGCTGCTGTTCGTAGCGTCATATTTGTGTCATTAGTTGCTGATGCCTTGAGAAATATTTTAGAATATAATTAGCCCACTTTAAAGGAGGGGTTTTGGGATATTGGCTGTTTGGAGTGACATCTAAACTCATATCTGGGCACTCTCAAAGACAGTGATTGTGTGTGAATGATGGTGAAAGTTTCTTCCTTTTTTGGGTTACCCTGTCTTGGTGGGAGATGGCTGGCATGTTGAAAAAAAAAAATTAGCCTACGTGTTTAATGTAGTGTGTGAAGGTGCAGCTGTTTAATCTGTTATGGAGGGATATTTTACAAGGAGATTAATACATTGTTTTCAACCACCAGCTGCCTCCTACCAAGGTTAAGGTGACCCAGAAGAAAAAAAAAATCACTATTGTTCATTCAGTAGTTGTCTTGCCAGAGGTGTGCAGACGTTATAATTCAAATGACCCTCTTAGTGCAAAATCCCCCACCCCTCCTGAGTGTAGTCACTATATTTCCTACCTCCAGGACACGAATCTAACTCACCAGTTTCTTCTGAATCTCTTCATAAATGCTACATTGCTCAAACTCCCAACAGCATGGAAAATCCTTGATACCACTCGTCTTCACTCCGGCTACTCTTAACGCTTTCACACGTGCCTGCTGGATACTCAAGGCTCTACCACTTCATACCTCCTTCACACTCTCCAACCATTTTTTGGAATGACCCCCTACCCCTCATCCTTTCCATTACATCCTCTCTAAATTCCCAAGCTTAAACAAATTTTAAATAAAGATTTTATAATCTTAGAATATAGACAGAGCAGACAAAGATTGTGAGGTCTGTATGGTAATTGTCATGAGATTGTACAGAAGAGGTGGTATGGTTTGAAAATTAAGTATTTTGCATGAAAGATATGAAAGATGTGGAAAGAGAGTGAAGGGTGTAGATGATAGCAGCAAAAACAATTAAGTAATAGAGATTAGTATACAGTACTTGTAAGATGGAGTATGGGCCACTTTGTGTACTGTACCATACATTGGAAGTTATGTTCAGTATGTGACATGTGCAGTATGAAATAGGATGGCATGTTCAGTATGAGGAAGTAGCATGGCATGTTCAGTTTTGGATGTAGCATGGCATGTTTAGTTTGGGAAGTAGCGTGGCATGTTCAGTTTGGGAAGTAGCATGGCATGTTTAGTTTAGGAAGTAGCATGGCATGTTCAGTTTGGGACTTAGCATGGCATGTTCAGTTTGGGACGTAGCATGGCATGTTCAGTTTGGGACGTAGCATGGCATGTTCAGTTTGGGACGTAGCATGGCATGTTCAGTTTGGGAAGTAGCATGCCATGTTCAGTTTTGGACGTAGCATGGCATGTTCAGTTTGGGAAGTAGCATGGCATGTTTAGTTTGGGAAGTAGCATGGCATGTTCAGTTTGGGACGTAGCATGGCATGTTTAGTTTGGGAAGTAGCATTGCATGTTCAGTTTGGGAAGTAGCATGGCATGTTCAGTTTGGGAAATAGCATGGCATGTTCAGTTTGGGGAGGTAGGATAGCATATGCAGTTTGGGGAGGTAGGATGGCATATGCAGTATGGGGAGGTAGGATGGCATATGCAGTATGGGGAGGTAGGGTGGCATATGCAGTATGGGAGGTAGATGGCAATGCAGTATGGGGAGGTAGGGTGGCATATGCAGTATGGGGAGGTAGGATGGCATATGCAATATGGGGAGGTAGGATGGCGTATGCGGTATGGGGAGGTAGGATGGCATATGCGGTATGGGGAGGTAGGATGGCATATGCAGTATGGGGAGGTAGGATGGCATATGCAATATGGGGAGGTAGGATGGCATATGCAATATGGGGAGGTAGGATGGCATATGCAATATGGGGAGGTAGGATGGCATATGCAATATGGGGAGGTAGGATGGCATATGCAATATGGGGAGGTAGGATGGCATATGCGGTATGGGGAGGTAGGATGGCGTATGCGGTATGGGGAGGTAGGATGGCGTATGCGGTATGGGGAGGTAGTATGGCGTATGCAGTATGGGGAGGTAGGATGGAATATGCAGTATGGGGAGGTAGAATGGCATATGCAGTATGGGGAGGTAGGATGGCATATGCAATATGGGGAGGTAGGATGGCATATGCAATATGGGGAGGTAGGATGGCATATGCAATATGGGGAGGTAGGATGGCATATGCAATATGTGGAGGTAGGATGGCATATGCAATATGGGGAGGTAGGATGGCATATGCAATATGGTGAGGTAGGATGGCATATGCAATATGGTGAGGTAGAATGGCATATGCAGTATGGAGAGGTAGGATGGAATATGCAGTATGGGGAGGTAGAATGGCGTATGCAATATGGGGAGGTAGGATGGCATATGCAATATGGGGAGGTAGGATGGCATATGCAATATGGGGAGGTAGGATGACATATGCAATATGGGGAGGTAGGATGGCATATGCAATATGGGGAGGTAGGATGGCATATGCAATATGGGGAGGTAGGATGGCATATGCAATATGTGGAGGTAGGATGGCATATGCAATATGGGGAGGTAGGATTGCATATGCAATATGGTGAGGTAGGATGGCATATGCAATATGGTGAGGTAGGATGGCATATGCAATATGGTGAGGTAGAATGGCATATGCAGTGTGGTGAGGTAGAATGGCATATGCAGTGTGGGGAGGTAGAATGGCATATGCAGTGTGGGGAGGTAGAATGGCATATGCAGTGTGGGGAGGTAGGATGGCATATGCAATGTGTGGAGGTAGGATGGCATATGCAGTGTGGGGAGGTAGGATGGCATATGCAGTGTGGGGAGGTAGGATGGTATATGCAATATGGGGAGGTAGGATGGCATATGCAATGTGTGGAGGTAGGATGGCATATGCAATGTGTGGAGGTAGGATGGCATATGCAATGTGTGGAGGTAGGACGGTATATGCAATATGGGGAGGTAGGATGGCATATGCAATGTGGGGAGGTAGGATGGTATATGCAATATGGGGAGGTAGGATGGCATATGCAATGTGGGGAGGTAGGATGGCATATGCAATATGGGGAGGTAGGATGGCATATGCAATGTGGGGAGGTAGGATGGCATATGCAATGTGGGGAGGTAGGATGGTATATGCAATGTTGGGGAGGTAGGATGGCATATGCAATGTGGGAGGTAGGATGGCATATGCAATGTGGGGAGGTAGGATGGCATATGCAATGTGGGGAGGTAGGATGGCATATGCAATGTGGGGAGGTAGGATGGCATATGCAATGTGGGGAGGTAGGATGGTATATGCAATGTGGGGAGGTAGGATGGCATATGCAATATGGGGAGGTAGGATGGCATATGCAATGTGGGGAGGTAGGATGGCATATGCAATGTGGGGAGGTAGGATGGCATATGCAATATGTGGAGGTAGGATGGCATATGCAATATGTGGAGGTAGGATGGCATATGCAATATTTGAGAAGTAGGGAGGCAGAAAACTTACATTATTTTTACCATGCAGATGGTCACAATGAAGATACGCAGGCCACCCACAACTGCGTCTATATGGTCATCTGGAAAGATAACCTGTACAGGTAAGGCCATATCTACAAGTTTTTTTTTTTCACTATACTGATAACATTTTATGTAGTGTAATGTCCTGAAGTGCAACTTCATGTTTTGTTTTAAGTCACTCTCATTTCTCTGCTTTTACTGTACCAGCGTTTTGAAAATTGGTTATTAAGACATGTTTTAGTAATTATAGCTGCATGAGCTAATCTTAATATTTTTTAGCATAATGCATTTTAATTTTTACATTACCATCATTTACCTCTCACTTCATGTGCACAGTGGCACTAGTGGATGAATCAACTTAGTTTCTCATCCTCGTTTTGTTTCCTTGGTCATCACAAGTACAGTAGATGCCTACAACTCAATTCTAACTTTAGATCCTTTACTATAATAACCTAGTAGTACATGTATTTGTGGCTCAGTGATATTGCAAGTATTATGAAGGGTTTTCCTAGCAGTTTACTGGGGAAAGACTAGGTGCAGAAGAAAGGTTCAAATTGAAAACAAGGTAATACAATAAAGTATCTGCAAACAACAGCAAGTTAAAATTATAAAGGAATAACCAAAAATTATGAAATGCAGTATATTATATCATATTTTAATGACTTCACTTTTAATGCCAGTACAGTAAGTCTTCACTTAATGTTGTCACTAAGTTCTTGGAAACTGCAGCTTTGTGAAACTACACACACACACACACACAAAAAAAAAAAACAATTTTCCATAGGCTGATTGATGTAAGCAAGAGTTAAGTTTCTTTGGCATATTTCTGGTCACAAAAATATCACCACACTGCTAAATATTGACCCAAAACTCATCTAATATTAAACATTGACATAGATGTGAGGTATACATACATTGAACAAAGATTAATAAAAACAAGTAAGATACAGTAGGGCCCTGCTTTAGTGTTTTGCTAATACATCAGTTTCCAATTATAGCCATTCTTCATTTATTCAGGCTTCTTACAATAAATATATTTACACTCACTATAATCTGAGTACAAAAATATTTTAAGGTAAGTAATGTGTGTACTGTATATGCATATTTTAGGCCTAGCACTATTACTCACTTAATATAGGATATTGTAAACATGTTCTCAGGTTTTTATATGCATTTGAAAGTGAAAAAAGGCTATATTTCACTTTACAGCCATTTTTACTTTACAGCAGAAGCCAAGAACCTAACCTTCTGTATAAGTGGGGCCCTCCTGTAATTATTTACTCAGTTTTTGGTGAATCATTGAGTGACAACAGTTGTAGTGGTGGTGGGTGGTATAGGGAGGGAGGCTGGCTTAATCCTCATCATTGGTGATGGGTAAAGGTGAGTCTGGGTTTCGATCATGTTGATGGTGGTGGTATTGCTGGTGTTGCAACTGCTCCAACTTCTTGATTAGCTGGGTTTTTAAAAAAACATGTCCAAGGTTTGTTGTTGTGCAGGTTTTTTCTTCTGTTTGAGCAGTCCCCTGTAGCAGTTGTATTCACTCGTTATCCTGTTTGCTTCTGAACTTCTCTTTTTGTGGAAATGGCCATAGCTCTATCTAACAACTGAAAATGGCCATAGCTCTATCTAACAACTGGCAAGCCTCAGACAGATCTTTAGTTGTTAAGATTCATAGTAGTTCTGCATCCTCGGTCTCATTGTTATCCTCTTCAGCACGTTGTTCTGTCTCCATGAGGTCCTCGTTAGATAATTCCTCATCATATGATTCAAGTAACTCCACTACATCTTCATTCATTTCATTAAATCCAGCCTGGTGTGCCAGCCCAACAATCTCCTGATGAACTTTTTTGTAATGGCTGCTCAAACCCTGGAAAGTCTGCAATGCATTCTGAATAGATTTTATCCAGAAAAGATTAGCTATGGTTGTTTTCACTCCCTGTCATCCCTCTGCCAAATTGTCAGTAGTATTCATGATATGGTAACCACACCAAAATTCCCTTCAGTGGGTTCAGCTTCACCATCTAACAGTTTAATCATTTGTTTAAAGGTGAGCTGTAAATAGTAGGCTTTGAATGTTGCTGTAATGCCCTGATTCATAGGTTGAATCAAGCTGGTTGTGTTTGGAGGCAGAAAAGTTACTTGAACATTATCTGTGAAGTCATCCAGGTTAGGTGAGTGACCTGGAGCATTATCTGGAAGAAGCAGAGCTTTTTCAAGGTTCTTAGCTCGACAGTATTCTTTGATGGCTTGGTAGAAATGTTTAGCCATCAAGTGACTATCAATACAATATATGAACATAATGAAAGACTATAAAAGAGAAAGTAATCAGTGCCTCAGCCTAGCAAAGTTATATACAGAAGGCAGTAAGTAAACCATTCTTGGAACACTATTCTGGTGATCCACCCCTTTTTATTTGACCACCAGATAACAAGAAGATGAGGTTTAGAGTAGCCTTTCATAGCTGTTGACATCTCAAAATGATAAACAACCAGTGGCTTGAGTTTCACATCTCCTGAAGCATTATCATCAAGTAGGAGAATTGTACAATCTTTGGCAGCTTTGAATGCTGGTGCTGTTTTTATTTAGAAATGAAATTTTTTTGTCATTTATTTCCTACCACCAAGCAGTTCAAAAACAAACAATAACAAATGTGGATGGTTCACCGAGTGCTTTCGTACTGCATGTTTATTGTCACGCATTTGTATTATTATCTTATACTTTACAGACAGTGGCCCCAGCCTGGAAGGTTTTTTTTTTCTCAACATTACAACGAAATGACATTATTCGAGGACCTACTGTACCTTCTAACCTTGCCTAACTCGGGACTTAACATGAGGGTGCTAAATATGGCTCATTTACTGTTTTATTAATTTTTTTGTTAATACATTGGCCATTTTCCACCAAGGTAGGGTGGCCTGTAAAAGAAACTTTCACCATCATTCACTCCATCACTGTCTTGCCAGAGATGCACTTACACTACAGTTATAAAACTGCAGCATTAACACCCCTCCTTCAGAGTGCAGGCACTGTACTTCCCATCTCCAGGCCTTGAGTCCGGCCTGCTGATTTCCCTGACTCCCTTCATAAATATTTCCCTGCTCACACTCTGACAGCATGTCAGGTCCTAAAAACCATTTCTTTCCATTCTCTCTTATTTAACACACTCACACATGCTTGCTGGAAGTCCAAGCCCTTTGCACACAAAACCTTTACCCCCTCCCTCCAACCTCTCCTAGGCCGACCTCTACCCTGCCTTCCTTCCACTACAGATTTATACACTATCGAAGTCATTCTATTTTGTTCCATCCTCTCTATAGTATGTCTGAACCACCTCAGCAACCCCTTCTCAGCCCTCTGGATAATAGTTTTGGTAATCCTGCACCTCCTCCTAATTTGCAAACTACAAATTCTCTACATTATAATCACACCACACATTGCCTTCAGACACGACATCTCCACTGCCTCCAGCCTTCTCCTTGTTGCAACATTCTCTACTCGTGCTTTACACCCATATAAGAGCATTGGTTTTTCTTGCATTGCTTTTTCTTTGCTCTGCCTCATTTTTAGCAGTAATTCTGTATACTGTGTGTGATATATGTACATTTGCTGTATGTGACAATGTCAGTTAGAGAGAGTACATTTTGAAGTTTCTTATTACAGTTTAGCAGTATGAGTATAGCTCATCCCTAGCTGCAGACAGTTGAATTTTTGGTTGGTTCAAAGATACCAACAAAAGAAAAAATTTAAGACAAATTCACAAATTGCGGAATGCATGGGGTTTGAATCCATGGAAAGCAAGTCCTAAAACTCACACCAGTGAGTTTACCACTTAGCCAGCTGGCTTTAATAAGGTTCATCCAACTAAATATATCTCTATACACCATAGAGAAGTTAGCATAGGCCCCACTATGACTACAAATGCAGGTTTTTACAAACGAATCCCTCACCAGCATGGCTTATTTTTTTCCTTAAGGAAGGGTAGAGGGCCCAACATCTTTTTTCAGGCTGTTTAATGGGTTTTTACTAGGTCTGCTTTAATTATTTGGACAGTCTAAACCATTGTTGCGGCCCCCTACCAAACTAGTGGTTAAATGGTTAACCTGCCGGCCAGCAGTAGCACTGGGTACGTCATCAAACCCATTGTGGGGACTGCTGAGCCGGCCTTAGAGCATTATGTACCTGAACACCTCACGGTACGCATCTAAGCAGTAGGTACCTGAACACGTAATCGTACACATCTACTGGCAGTAGAGAGTATTCTACTGGCGTTAGCGGAAGCGCTCACCGCAGCTCACTGAGTCTGTTGGCCTCGGTTACTTGACGGCCGCATTCAGTGAGCTTGCAGCATGGTGTTCTGCAAACAGGATTAACCGAACCTACTTGCAGTGTATCAACTGGCCTTGGAGAGTATTTACAGGACTACCGGTGATGTCTGCGGACTCACCGCCTATGCTGGTCAACTGTGGGCTGGAGTCATCTGATGCTGTTTTAGTGGGACATTACATGAAGAAAAGGTTGGAGTGTTACACTGAACTGGGCTAGGACCATAGTGTGACACTTAGGGAAGTATGATGGAGTGGAACACTGAGATATGCTACAGGACCGTAGTGGAACACTGAGAAGAAAAGGGTGTTGTGTGACACTGAAGATGGTCAGGTTGTAGTGTACATTGAATAGTATCATGTGACTGGCCTCGAGGGACGCTGTGGGTGATAGTGTGCGACGCAGAGACAAGGGTGTCAAGAGTGACACAGTAGAGTTATTGTGTATGACAGAGAAAAGGGTGTCGTGTGACACGGAGAGTAGGAGTGTCGTGTGACACACAGAAAAGGGTGTCTAGTGGACACGGTTGAGCAGGAGCATCATTACACGGAAGAAAGGGTGTCAAGTGACACAGTTGAGAGGGAGCGTCACAACACACCACGGATAAGTGTCGTGAGAGACACGGAGCGTCATTAAGGTGTCGTGAGACAGAGTTGACTAATTTATTATTGTAAATGTTACTTAATTTATTATTTTAGCATAGATATATATAGTGACACAGGAGTGTTTTTACCCTGTGTAGGGTCACGAATTATTATTTATTATTTTAGTAAAATGCTAATTATAATTTATTATTGTAACCTGTATATATTATCAGATGTTTATTAGTTCAAATACCTCTAGACCAAAGATTGATTTTTATATTATATTAAAGATTAATTGATTTTAATGTGTATATATGTATCCTGAACTCTTTATTACAAAATGAGTAAAACTACCATCTTTAAAAATAACTTTTTTTGTAATAACCATGATCAGTCATTACACACACAACCTACACACAGAAGAGAGGAGCTTACGACAGCATTTCACTGCAACTTTGCCCATTTACAAAGTCTCACACTCAGTGTGGCTTATTTGTGTATTGTGCCAGTCACAGTATTGACTTTTTGTTCTCCATGACCAGTCATTCTTGGTTATATTTTATTAGCTGAGAAATAGGGTAAAAACTTCCAGGCTTATGACTCCAAATATTGCCATAGTTATACTTCATAGTCTCTTGTAATTGAAAGAAATATACTGAAAGCCTCTAAACAATGCTGGTTGTGTTATGCCTCCAATGAACAGCTGATGCACAGCTGTGGCCTTTTCTTCAGTAGCATCCATGGGAAATCACTTTCATCTCTGTATTCCACCAGTGGTATAGCTGTCATATCTGTAATCCATTAAAACTGAATACTGTACTTCATACCTAGTCATGAGAGGAGAAATCTATGTAAGCAGAGAGTTACCTAACTCAGCCATGGTGCAGTATCACCAGGCAAAGTAAAGTAAACTACAAAAGTAGTAATTCTTTCAGCCATGTTGAACATATGCTGATGTTTGTAGCTACCATTTCTGTGGTGTAGAATGGTACATTTCAGCATTTGGTGGAAATGTTTGCTAACCACTAGTTATGTGTCTAGGTAAAACTTGAGCCTTCATAAAACTTTATGCCTTCATAAAACTGAGGGACTTGAGGATAAACTGTTAGAAACTTTGGTTTCTCTTACATATCTTTAAAATTATTGCAGTTGTGTTTTTGTGGTGGCAGCAGCATGCTTTTACTGTAATTTTTCATTTGAAGGCTTTGTCACTGAGAGACAATGTGATCTATCTGAGAGTGCTTATGCACAGTAATAATTGGCATATTTCCTTTTAAGGATCCACTTCGGAGCTCCAAGCAAAAGTCGCAGCGAGACGTATTGCAAGGGCTATCCAAAAGTTAGGCTACACTGTTAAGTTTAAAAATTTTAGGATTGTGAATGTCCTAGGAACATGCACCATGCCATTTGCTGTGAAGATTACTCCTTTTTCTCAAAAATTCAGAACTAGAGCAAGGTGAGTGTGATAAATGTTTTAAATTTCCAAGGTTCTATCAATATTAGTATGCAAAAGATGTGAAAAATGTCAACATTGCCTTTCTTATTATATGTAATGCATCCTAGGTCCAGAATTTTTTTTTTTTTTTTTCCCCCTTACTGAAATATATATCACGTGAAATAATACATATTATTTTAATAATTATCTAGGGTAATGTTTCCCTTTCCTTCTAATGTGTATTTGTCTGTGAATATGTATGTGTACAGTATTTATTTATTTTTTTGAAGTTCATTTCAGCCATTTAGCACTATTTATAAAGTATATTGTATTGTCTTAACTACATAATTTCTTTTTCATTAATTTGAAATTTTTAGTGCTTTCTATCTTTTATTGTTATATATATATACAGTATTAAGCATTTCTATTCTACACAGAATTTCTGTATGATCTGCACAAATATTCATATATTTTAGTCTTTATCACTTTGGCTAGTTAGTTGTACAAATTTCTGAGTCTACTTCCTTTTTTTTGTGCCTACCCCACTGATAACTACCTCTTTGAGGACACTTTTTTCCTCTCATAGTTTTTATTTGTATTAAAATTTCTCATGGTTTGAGATACAGTAGGGCCCCCGCTTTACGGCATTCCACTAATACAGACATTTCAAATTATGGCCAAAACTTGCTGTACGGCTTCCCCCCTTCACCTGACTTTCTAATATGGTCACCGTGCCCCACCCAGTTTGTTTACATTCTCCATGAGCACTGCGTCTCTCCATTATGTCTGGAAACTTTCCAGAATTTCAAGTGTTTTAACCCTTTCAGGATTTCTGACGTACTAGTACGGCTTACGCACCAGGGTTATTGACGTACTAGAACCCCTAAATTCTAGCGCCTTCAGATCTAGCGAGAGAAGGCTGGTAGGCCTACATATGAAAGAATGGGTCTATGTGGTCAGTGTGCGCATCATAAAAAAAATCCTGCAGCACACAGTGTGTAATGAGAAATAAAAACTTTGACCGTGTTTTTGGATTAAAATGGCGACTTTGCACTGTATTTTCGTATGGTATTTATGGTTGTATTCAAGTTTTCCTGGTCTCATTTTATAGAATGGAAGACATATTACAGAAATTGAGATGATTTTGATTGGTTCCACAGTGAAAAGTACGTGCACCTTGAAATTGAGGTCAAATTAACAGAAATGTTCGATTTTTACCAAAGTTCAAGAGTAAACAAATCATGCCAAGCATCCAATACATGTCAACTGGTGAGTCTAATATTCTTCCACAAGTGCGCTGATATTATTTATACCATTTCTACATTAATGCAGTAGTTTGCATAACGGTAAATCTTTTATTTTTTGTGAGAATAAAAATTCAAAGTGGAAGGCAAAAGAAATGTAAGAGTCCTGGAGATGTGACTAACAAACAGAGAACTTGTTATTTTAGTGCCAGGAATGTCTGCATTGTTTATTCTGGACCCTATTTAGAAATCTGCATCTTCTGAAATTTGTGTGAAATTGGCAAAATTGCCAATTTCTAAACCATTCATTGGATAGTTAAAAGGAAAAGGGGTAGGTTTCTTGTACTATTCAATAAAAAAAGGGGTTTTAAACGCAATAAATATGAGTTTTGTCGACTAGTACACAGAAATTGGCCAAAAATAGGGCTCAAAGTGGGCGAAATCGCAGATGCGTAAACATCTTTGAGACGCTAACTTCGCGGGCATAATTCTGAAAGTTTTCCATAAATTTCATATTTTTGGTGTCATTATGTTTGGGGGAAAAGATTCTTTGTCTTATAAAAGAAAATTTTTGTTTTTTTTCGAAAATTTTTGACCTAGAATGAGTCTAGGAGAGGGCCTCTCGACCCTGAAAGGGTTAAATTTTTTTCATGTTAAATACTTGATAATTATACTTGTGTACCTTTTTTTTTTTTTTTTTAAAAATGTTGGCCCTTTCCACTGAGGAGGGTGCCCAAAAAAAAAACGAAAAAACTTTTGTACGTTCAAAACTTTCACCTCATGTGTACCTGGACCCAAAAAATTACACACTGTGTGGCATGGGAACATTAAAATCACTAAGAGTGTGTTATTAGTTTGAGGAACCTATTAAAAATTTAAAATAATAATAAACAAAAAAAATCACTGAGGTGCATTTTAAAAATTGTATATTCGGTTTTTCATTTTCATTAATCATCTTGATTTTTTTTTTCAAAAATTTTAATATAAACCCACTAGTAAAATAAACATGATAATACACCCCCCCCGTGAATAAATTTAAAAAAAAATATGGGATGTTTGGTGTGATGAACCAGAACTGACACCTTCTTGCTTGTTTACATTGCGTGTCTCTCTCCTCTTCATTTTCTTGTTCTTTTTTTGTTTTATTCATATACTTGCCTCCAAAACCCCCATTAACCCTTAAAAATGTTAATAGTAGATGTGTTTGCATGTGTGCATCCCAAGTAGAGCTACTTTTTTTTTTCATTCCTTAAATTTGGAGCAAGGCCCCCAGTCGCCTAGACATGAGAGAATGGGTCTGCGCACTCAGTGTGTGCGTATGAAAAATAAAACTGGGGAGCTGGGGTACCCCGTGGTAGCACCCGTTATTTCAGTCATCTTGGGTCAACATCAGGCAAACCCCCCTGATTCCTTAGCTCGTCGTTATTAACATAGTGGATTTGACACCAATATGGCCTAAAAATAAGGAATTAGTGAAATTTGATGGCACCCCCAGTTACCTCAGCCCATCACCTCTGGGTGGCCAGTTGGCCTACCAGACCCCGCCCAGCAACTCGGGGTTTAGTGTTACCCCCCAAAGGCAAAATCCGCAAGGGAATTTCATTTTTCCTCCCCCATGGGATTTACAATAGTGGGGGGGGATAAAGTGCGATGATGAAGTCAATTTTATGCTCATAGGGGATTTTTCGGTGAAATGATTTCATTATTCCCCCGTGAAACTTTTAGGCGGGGCACCTACGTTCAGGCAGTGTGCCATATGCAGTCGGCGGCAAGGGTCTTGGCAGGTCATGATCCAAAACCCCAGCCACTGATAGTGATCATGAAGGTGAATATGCTGGGATGGAGGAAGAGGAGGTGGGTGGCACTGGACCTTGTGGCGCGGTGGGTGGACAGACAAAGTACCACCCAGCACCCTCTCAACCATGTGCTGCCTCCACTTCTGTTCCTCCTCCTGTTCCCCTACGCCCTATGCCACAGGTCCACCCTGCACCATGTGACCGCAAATGGAACTGGACAGAAAATACACCATGCCACATCCTTTCAATTTTGATGCCAGTGGAACTGGCATAAGAACATAAGAAGGAACACTGCAGCATGCCTACCGGCCCATGTGAGGCAGGTCCAATTCTCCCACCAGCTTAAACCAATGCCTTGACCTAGTCAGGTCAGTCACATTCACATGCCACACACTCATCACAAATGAGTCTACAGAGTTACTGTTTTCATCTATACTTTGTCGAGCCAATAATGAACCTGATTGTTACCCAGGCCAACATGTACTACCGGTATACAATGGACCACATAGATGTTTCAGAATCGTCACGACTGTGCAGGTGGAAAGATACAACTGTGGCTGAAATGTATTCATTCCTTGGCACTGCCATGCATATACCACACACGTATAAGAACAATATAGCACAGTACTGGTCTACAGACCACTTCATCACCACTTCCATGACCTCCTTCCCTGCAGCAGATTCACTCTGTTCCTATGAATGTTGTACTTCTCGGACAGAAATACGCCAAACCGAAATGACCCCCTATACAAAATCAGGGAATTGTTTGTATTTGAAGCAAAAATTCAGTGCCTACTTTTATCCATTCAAGAACATTGTTGTTGACGAGTCCATAATTCTGTTCGAGGGACGACTGTCAGTCAAACAATATATACCACGCAAACGTAATCGCTTTGGTATAAATATCTTTGTTGTGTGACTGTGAGACTGGTCTTGTGTTAGATGCCATTATCTACACAGGAAAAAACACTTGATGCCAGGGGCATGTTGGGCATTTCTAGGGTTGTTCGCAAGATGATGCATCCATACCTTGGCAAGGGTCATACATTGTTCACAGACAACTGGTATACAAGCCCTATGCTTGCTGATTTCCTATGTGTGAACAATATTGATATGTGCAACAGTGAGATGTAGAAAACACATGCCAGGGTTCACTGGAGGAAGTGTAGTGCAAGCGTTTCATACCAATGACATCATGGCACTGACGTGGCATAACAAACGGGACGTGACGTTGCTGTCAACCATCCACAGAAATGAGATGATACAGACAGATTGAGCAAGCACAACAATGAACCTATTGTAAAGCCAGGTGCTGTCGTTGACTTTACGAACGGTACATGACTAGTCGACAAGTGTGACATGATGATAGGGTTTGTTGACTGTGTGCGTAGGAGTTACAAGTGGTATATAAAAGTGTTTTTCCACCTTGTGGACATTGCAGTGCTCAATGCCTTCAATATGTATGAAATAAAAACGGAAGCAACAACGATATGTGAAATTTGCCCTCAATGTCATCAAGCAGATGGAGAAAAAGTATGGAACCATACCTATACCTGCCACTCCACAGTGACCTGTCACCCCCACAACCAGAGGGGGAAGTGCCTAACCGAATAATCCCTAATTGTCACTGCCTGATACCAATAGCATCTCCAAAGAAGAAGTACTCTCAGAAAGTGTTGTGTGTGTGCTTACGCTACACAGCAACCCCAAGTACGAAAAGACACACGATTCATATGTCAGCAATGTAGGGTGGCACTCTATATGAATCCATGCTTCTTGGAGTATCTTACAGTGGTAGACTTCTAGAAACATAAATAGGACCTGTAAATACCTTGTATATATATGTAAACAGTAGTATATGATTGAACCAGGTGTACAAATTCATCTATCAGTGTGAACATGTGTGTTTGTGACGGTATGATTACTAATTCAGTACCAAACATTTGTGTCTCAACAAGAATTGGCTATGAAATCAAAAGATCTGCAACAAGACATTATCA